TCTGACTCTGAAAAACAGGCAAGTGCCTCAGACTTGGCACAGGGGTTATCAATGGACAGCGTCCAAGAAAAAAAACCCTGACGTGTTCTTTGGCACAAAGCTGCAGGATTAAACTTTGCTGAAGAACATTAAAAGTAGCCTGATGAATATTTGGGAGCACATTCTTTGGTCAGATGGGACCAAGATAAATGTGTTTGGCTCAGACGAGGTCCCGTATGTTTGGCAGGAGCCTGACCGGGGCGGCTGCACGGCTGTCAGGAATAAAAGTTTTAAAGTAAAGCATCGAGGTTGGAGTGTGATGATACGGGGCTGCAAAAAGGGCAAAAGGTGTTGGAGGGAGGCTGTCATGAATGGCACCATGAATGTCTGTGGATAAACCAAAACACTGACTGTTATTCTGCAGGTGTGTTTGGCAGACAAGACAATTTTTCCGGCGTGATAAAGATCCAAAGCACACCGCCAAAACCACCCGGGAGCCTCTAAAGAAGGAATAAGTGGAAACTATCACCTTGCTAAGTGTGTCACTTGACTTGAATCCAATAGAACACTTTTGGGATGTTTTAAAGAGAAAGGTAGAGCAACACAACCCCTCCAGCGAAGAGGAGCTTAAAAAAAAAAATCTCTGAAGAGCAGCAGAACATCTCTCCAGTAATTTGTGAATCACTGGTTCCCTCCATGCCGAGGAGGAGTGAGTCTGTCATCAAACATAAAAGGATACAGAGCTTTGAACAAATAAAAGATTTGCATCTCAGGGGCTTTTATTTTCAATGCAGTGAATGCAAACTGTTCTACGTTTTGCATAAAAGCCGATAGCCGACTGTTATTAACAGGTGATACGATTTTGAGTAACTTGACATTTAAGTGATTTAACACAGATTGTACTCACTTCTGTTGTATGTATACATTTCTCCTCTCTTTTGTCCGGATCACTCGTAAATGTTTGGTTTCAGCTAAGAAAAAAGTGTACCCGAGGGAGAAGTTAACAAAGAATCCACGATTTTATAAAAGCCTTGTGATTAAACTGATATGGCTGCATAAAAAATGGACTTCTCTACATCTGCTGTGGAGTCATGAAGGCCTGAATGGCAGGCGTGTCGGAGAATTAGGACACTGAATGTCTGCTGAAGGTGTGGACCGCAAAACTGATCTCGCACTTAAGAGTTTTGTAGTGAAACCAGGAGTCTATTATTTATCTCAATTGTTCCTCCTACTCACAGAGCCTTGAGCTACATGTGCTGTGGTCAGTCCTCATCCCATCCTCTCTCTCTCTGGCTCTCCTATCTGCATTGTCCATGTTCAGAAAGGCACTTTTCCAAGCACCCTTCTGGATCTTGGAAGTAGCAGGACTTTAAATGGCAGAAAGAAAACGGGGCGCTCTTGTCCTTGACCCCGTTTGACCGCTTCGCAGCAGGGATGCAGGGGACGGATGTTGGGCAGCGCTGTGCATGTGTGCACACATGTTTCTGGTGTGTGGGTGTGTTTTTTTAGACGTGTTGCTCTGTGCTCTGGCACTCACCAGCCAATAATTGCACATAATTGCATCCATTTGTGGGAAAGGCAAAGATGAACATTAGTGAGATCTGTGACACGTACTGCAAAGTGTTTGTTCCCTCAAGATTAAAAACAGACTCTTGCGGGCAGTAGATGGAACGTTGTGTGACACATGATGTCAGGTAGTGATGTGCTGGTTACTATGGTGACCGCGGCACCTGCTTTTGTTCGGCTTTGGTTAACGCTGAACACATATACAGGACATACGTACATTCATCCAACCCACAACTGTTGTTTGTGTAGCCCGGTTTTTGTAAGCCTCTGTGCCGCAGAGCTTGATTGTTGTCCAAAAGCAGAAATAGACGAGCCACACTGTTACACCACAGAGACTCGGCTCTGTGCAAAGTCTGAATAGAAATCTATGCAAAAGTTCTGCAGATGTCCTCTGTTAATATTAATCAGTATAGTCCCCAACAACTTCCCCAGAGAAAAAATAATAATAAAACTAAACATTTGCAAACTGCTTTTAAATAATTAAGCTTGAGCTGGATGTTTCTAGTTAGGTTTTCTCACATTTATTTAACTTTTAGATGTGTTTATGCACACGAGCGTCTCTGTTTGTGAGACTGGAGCATCCCATTTGAACAGAGAAGCTGGATGCCATTTCCCTTATCACATTGTTCCCGGCTCTTTGATCCTCACATCACCCAGGAAATAATAATATGAACCCACAGCTACGCGCAGCAGGCTGCAGCAACATACTGCAGCAGCATCCTGTGAAGAGGTCACCTTTACTGGAAATCCGTTGGTAACTGGATAACACAGTTGATTGAACTGCTGTGGAATCACCACAGCGCTGCAGTTTCATACCGGCGGTGTGCTGACGATGGACAAACCCGACTCGGGTGTTTCAGTACCACTAGTTTTCCTTATTTGTCAGAAATAGTGGATATGTAATGTATGTATTAGGTTTCATATTAGTATTTGTGGAGCTGATTAACAACCATAAACCATCAGTGACGTTTATACATGAAACATATTTCTGTTCTCTTACCAAACATATGAGATTATTTCTACATATTTGTGTCTTTCGATTCATAATCGTTAAGTAATGCCTCTACAAATCGGAGACCTGGATAATTAATAAATACAGAAATCCTGCCCTGTACAAAGGGTCCATGTGGTCAGAATCTCAGCAGTGAAGTACAGAAATGTGCCGGTGCCTCCATCTGTACACAGAACAGGGGTTAGCAGTGCATGTTTGGATGCTTTTAAAGGCCAACAAATATTTCTTACGTTGCTCAGATGTGTGGGAGGACGCCGGTACAACAGTAACTACCTCAGCAGCGGTGATATGCACACTTTTAATTATCTGGACAATACAGCGCATTATCCGTGGACACGCCGACTGACTGGGGAACAAAAGATGCCACAGACAGGTGATCTTTCTCTGCCTCCGTCATCAGAAACTGACGTTGCTTCAGATGACGCCTGAGAGAGAGGGGGGGAAAAAAAAAGTCCTTTCCTTGGATCTTTCCTTTGCATCCCTCCCACGCACATTCAAGTGGGTGGGACTAAGACAAAAGGGAACGAGTGAGGGGAGCGTGGAGATGAGAGAGAGCTGGAATGTAGAGGATTTTAGAAGATTTCACACCTAAAGATCCACAACTCAAATTGGAAGAGAATGTTAAATTTAGCCTCTCTCCTCCACAGGTCGTCCGGGCCTATCGGTCCGTTCATTATCAAGGCCTTGTCAGTTATTTGTTGACCTCCGCAGCTCTCTTTAGACGTGTTCTCTCTCTTTGTTTGCCCTTGGAGCATCTCTTTCTCCCTCTCTATTTGCTGCTTTTGCTAAATCATATGTGTGAAATGTAGTGGCTTTTCAGACCTTTTATGAGTCCACATACAAACGATGCCAAATCGCACAACAATGCACAATAGACGGAGCCGCTGCCAATATAACGCCAACGCTCACCAACTGGACTCCATCATTTCCTGGACAGTGGATTCCGAACATGAGAAAAAAACAAAAAGGGAAGAAACGCTAATGATTGGAGAGGAGTGGAAAAGGCACCAAATGGTTCAGGGAAGAGGTTGTGGGTTGGACAGTTGAAAAACTGGCAGAAACACCTTATGAAAGAACAGCTTGAAAGATAAATCTTACAAAACAAACCACTGTGCTCAAGGTGAATCGAAAGTGGCAGAAAATGTCTGGCTGCGAGTTGTGGATGGTTTATAGCAGCCTGACTGGGCCGTAACTGGTTCAAGGCTGCAAATGTACCGACTTAATGCTTCTGTTATGTATTAATGGAGAGTACAATATGACTTCTGAAAGTCTCTGAATAGGATGAAAAAGCTGCCCGTCATAATGAAACGACAATAGGATGAAAACACTAATGTCTGTTTTCAGAGGAAACATGCACATATACACACACATCTTTTTTTTTGTCACTCCTTCTGCACGTTTGTTTAAAAACTGTACAAACAAATGTGGTTCATTCATTCTATTCAGCCGCCAATGCTGGAAATTACAGCCAAGTATTTTTGAAGCTAATTCTCCCAGCTGTGCACACCTGGATTTAAGCAATTTTCTCCTTGCGTGTGCTCTCCTGCTGCGTCAGATTGTCGGGGGGAAAGTGGGGCTAGATTGCGGCCCTCGCGTCTAAACTGATTGTCGGTGTGGGTTCAGGTCCGGTTCAGGCTTTTGGCTGATTGAAGACATTCACTGGCTCGTCACAAAGCCTCTCCAGCATGGTCGCGTGATCCAGAGCTGATCAAAGGTGCATCTCCACTTACATCTAATCTCACGTCCCGGTTTGCTGTATTTAGGGCTGTTTCAGAAAACAGGTGGAGGAAGCCGACTTAAAAACCCTTTGAGGACACGCAGGTGTTGACTTATAAAACCAAAGAACGCCTGATCTAAGCATGCAGCATCGTCTGTCTTTGAGGTGCTTCCTGTGTCGGTTATTAAAGCGATCATCAAGCTTTTCAGCTCTGAGACCATCAGAGGTGTTAAGTGAGGTGCTGTTAATAAAATAACTTGCTTGACTTGTTCTCCACAAAAGCAACACACTTCACAGATGTGGGATTTATTTTAAGACACACGGTTGGACTGTAATCATGTCGGTGCACTTGATAAACGAGTCTCAGTAAAGAAGGTGGCAGTGTATCGGAGTTCAGTTGTCTTTATGGCAGTTAGTAGAGCTGCAGGGAGGTCTGCCCTGCTGCCACTTTAAGTCATCTCTTAGTCCTCTTTTTGTTAAAATATAGGTCAGCATCCATAATTCTTCACTCTGGTCAACACAGTTCTGTATTGGTGGATTTAGGATTAAAACTATGAAATGTTCCCACCATTAAATTAAGCTTTTCTATTATTTACTCTACAGCACAAACATTAGAAGCGCTGCCAGGTGAGGTCAGAAACACAGATCACCTGGTTATTATAATCAACGTTTTATCCGTGTGCTCCTCTGTGTGCATGTGTCTGAATCACGATGTCTTTACTGCAGATGAAATCAGCGTGGAGGGGATGGTGGTGCACAGAGCCGAATGCAGACCGCTCGTCACCGACAACTACATGAAGCTGAAGAAGTGGGTAAACTTTGAGACGCTGCAGTTTGAAAGATGCCTCTGCTCACGTGTGGTGAACTCAAATCACGATGTGCTTCAGAGTAGCGTTAGATTGTTAATATGAGAATGCAGCAAAAAGAAGAGAGAAGAACGGACGTTACAAATTCAAACAACACCTCATATTTGGTATGAACTGAAAATATGGTATCGATATTGCGCACTAGTACATCAAGTGTTTATTGTGCACATTCAGCCAAAATGAGTAAATATTTGTGTAAATGAGTTAAAAAAAATTATCACAACTTTTCAATGAGGTTACGTATATTGTAGGAGTGTAAATTAAATTTTTTTTATATCAAATCTGGAGAACAATAAACACTCAGATGTACATGAAATGCACAAAGCCACCAGGGCAGCGTTTGTTTTCAAGAACTGAGCTGTTCAATTTGCCTCTTTCACCCCTGGACAACACAAAATCTGTTCAAGTGCCGTGAATTAATTCCAACCGGAGTGGCGAAGTCGATGACAGGGGCACAGTTGCGACCGTTATTTGTGTACACCACACACTCGAGTCCACTCTGCCTTTTTTGTTTTTTTTAAACTGGTTTCCGTCTCCTCTTGGTGGAAATATGTTATTCTAGCCAGAGTTAGTGGATGGCATTGCTATAGCAACAGCATTGCTGTGGCAGATGCACTGCTACAATACATCCCAAGGCAAACAGCACAGTGTACATTAGCGTGTGAGACCATGTCTGTGTCAGCCATCGGATCTGAACGGCACACTGAGCGCTGTAAGAGCTGAAGTACAGAAAGGAGCTCCTCCTGATCCTCCAACACTCTTCTGTGACTGTAATATGTCAGCCGTCCTCAGAAACACATGCTTGCGTGCGCTGATCGACGGGCCGGACTTCCTCAGATGTTACTCGATGGCCACATTTGTCTGCAGTATTTCACTGCAGACTTGAAAAGAAAATTCTTTCCTTTTGGATCAAGTTTTACAATCTCCCATTTGGACGGCAGCTGACAAATGTCCCTCCATCATTGCAGGCTACAGAATATGAAGGACATTATGTTGTCATGGTGGCGTCTGTGTGTGTGTGTGTGTGTGTGTGTTTGTTTCTGTGTGTGTGTGTGTGTGTGTGTTTGTGTTTGTGTTTGTGTGTGTGTGTGTGTGTGTGTGGAAACAATTCAAGAACAGTTTTTTCTTGTTTTTGGTGGAAACATCACTTTCTCACATTATTTTGCATATCAGTAATTAATTCAAATCAAACAAATGTATGTGTTATCCTCACAGTTGTATTTGTTTGTCGTTATTTTTTTTGTTTTTCTGATGCAAACAGTTTTGATTTTGTGTTTTTTAAACGTACTTCTCTACGAATTAGTGAAACCAAATACCCAAAAAAGGGGGGTGTATAGATTAACATAGAAGTAACCATAGACTGTAATGCATCAGTCGGCTCATTGTTCATCGTTAATGTATCATTAAGATGGTATCACAGTCATTACGGCAGGACATCAGGCAGCTGCAGAGCCCAGCGTTTGACATTTCAGTCATTGCTGCTTCGTTCGGTCATCAGTCTAAATAAAATGTGTTCAATGATAGGCTGAGTCAAGACGAATGAAAGTCAACAAAAAATAAATAGAAAGCAGAATCTGAACAGAACAGCTGCCATCACTTGTTTGGTTCGTGGAAACTCAAGGTGCTGACAGTTGTCTTTGTGCCAACAGGCACATCTGTCAGCAGAGATCAAGTTAGACGATAGAAACAAAAGCAAACTTCTCTTTATCTGTGTGTGTGTGTCAGGTTGCAGATTCAAGAGTCCATCAAGCCTCAGCGTTTGTCACAGCAGCTGGAGAGAGCCGTCACCACCGTCTTCAAGCCTGTGGCCAACCACGACTTCAATGTGAGACGTAATATCGGCGAGGCTGTGTGTAGACGTGTGTGTGTGTGTGTGTGTGACCCGTTTTGATTCCTAAACACAGGGTCACTCAGCTGATGAGGGGGAACGTTTCAGTAGGGTTTAGAGTAAAGAGCAGGACCTGGTTTGAGCATAGAGGTAGTGAAGGTTGCTGCAGGGCAATAACCAGTAATGTAGAGGCCTCACTGACCATCTGAGACACAAACGTTGTGTCAGTGGTTGAAGAAGTGTTCAAAAATAAAAAGTACTAGTTTGTCAATTTAAAAAGCTCCATTTAATAAAAATTTTTTTACTTAAAATGCAGAAGCCTTTTCAATAAAATGTACGAGGAGTGTCAGAAAAGTTCCAGGACTGGTGTCACCAAAGATAGATTTCAAATCCAAACTACCAACTTCCTCTTCCAAGTAATCCCCCTGCAGTCTAACCCACTTCTCCAGCCTTCTCTTCACGCCACCATGCACTCCTGGAAGGATTCCTCCAGGATCCTCTGCAGCTCCGTCGTCACAGCCATCTTGATGTCGTCCACGTCTTCAAAGCTGGTCCCCTTGATGACCCCCTTGAGCTTGGGGAAGAGGAACCAACCCCACGGAGCCACGTGGGGTGAGTAGGGAGGTTGCTCCAGCACGGAGATGTTCTTCTCAGCCAGGACCTGTGGGATGCTCAGGGCGTTGCCATGGTGAAGCAGCCACGACTCGTCCTGCCACAACTCTGCCTCTTCTGAACGAAGCAAAAGGATCTCTTTGTAGACGTGCTGGTTGGTCGTCTGAAGGGGAAAACTGGTAGTTGGTAGTTTAAAATCTGTCTTTAGTGACACCAGTCCTGGAACTTTTCCGACGCACCTCGTACTTAAAGTATTACAGTAGAAGTCCAGGCTTGTGCTCTCTGACTGATGTATTATTATATATGACATTATTAATAGTGAAGCTTCAGTGTGTCGGCAGCTGAACTGCTTTATATCCCGTCTTGTGTACAGGAACAGCAGATAGATCTGAGATTATTACTGGGAGTGGAAAGACAAAAAAAAGGTTCTGATACACAAATATGTTAGGATGTTGGAATCATTTGGATGTTTAATGAAATAACATCATTTAGTGACCAGTGTGAGCCGGACTACGTACTGCTGCTTTTTGTAAGACATTAGAAACCAAAAAGACCAGTTAAATCTGACAGCGTGTCATATTTTAAAAGCTTGTTATATTATCGAATGTGTAAAATATTCAACTTAAAAGTAACTAAAGCTGTCAGATAAATGTAGTGGAGTAGAAAGATAAGGTGGCATCAAAAGGACATACTTCAGTACCTCAGAACTGAACATAGCTCAGCGTATTTAGTTCATTTACACGATTGCTGTATGTGTGTGTTTCATATGTGACCCTGAAGAAGACACTAGTTGCATGGAAGGTGTTTTGGCTTCTGGCAGCAGGTCTTAGTGATTGGTTTTGATTCACTTAAAAAAAATAAATAAATACTCATTTCCCAACCCGTCCTCTGATTCAGTCCAAAGCAAACCACTGTTAAGTTTGACTAAACCTCTCTGGGTCAGTTAATCAGTCAATAGACGTTTGAATCAAACAGTCTTCTAACATCTACACTGGTGATGTTACAGCTGTCATTATTAGTGGTGATGCTGAGTTTGGTTCTCAGGTGGAGTACGAGAAGAAGAAGAAGTCCGAGGGTAAGATGGTGAGGGCAGAGCGCCAGGTCGTGTTGGACATGCTCTTCACCGCCTTCGAGAAGCACCAGTACTACAACATAAAGGACCTGGTGGACATCACCAAACAACCTGTGGTGAGCAGCATGCACACACACACACACACACTGAACAATATAACTGGAAAGACTGGGGGAAAAAAACAACAACAAACAAACAAAAAAAAAAACAATACACCTGCCCACTATCCACCTTGCTTTGTTAAATTTGAACAAATCGCCCACGGCATGACGTTCATGCCTGCTCACACTATCTGTTGTGGCTGAAATTTGGGCCAATATGTGCACACACACACACACACACACACTCACACTCACTCACACACACAGACACACACAAACATGGGATGAATCGATACAGCGCAGTGGATTCGTTCCAGCTCGCAGTGAACAGCGATGTGTAGGTGCTGATGAGACCTTGAGGTCCTCCTCTCCCTCTGATTGCATCTGATTGCATAACCATCGGCTGAGTAGGAGTCAAACGCCCCAATACACTCCACACCATCATTTCTCTCCTAAAGCACTTGGCTAACACTCAAATTAACTGAACTAAAGTAACCGAAATGCCCATTATGAAAAAAAAAACCCTCGCTGCTATTCATCAGATGGAGCTGCTGCCTCATTGGTAGCTCAACAGAGACACCCAGTGGCCGTCGCAGAGACACAAACCACAGCGCCGAGTCGTCTGCTGCCCTGATAATGACACACTGTCTTCCACAGTCACTGCTCTGTTAGAAAAGAGGCCTGCGTTATGCGGATATACTCCTGGCAGTCGATAAAAGCACTCCAGATATCGGCTGGTTAGAAATAAGCTCGGCTGTATGAAGACAAGCAGTCACATCAGCACTAGCGTGAAACTGGCCTGTTGGAGGTCTGAAACACAGGACTAAGAATATCCTGCCAGAGTCTTCAAGTCACAGGGAGGCAGCACTAACCACACACTGGGATGGAGCGCTGCAGGCAAGGTGTGGATGGAAAAAACATGACTTTGGAAAATAAA